AAAATAAATCTGAATATATTAAGAGGAGAAATAATATATCAGGTAATATATTAAAAAAGAAACCTTAATGTATGGGGATATTTTTGCATAAAGATTATATATGAAACACAGTGTCAATAAAAGCAACAATTTCTTCATTAATTAAGGTTCAGAATAATGACTTTTAAGACAAGTTTTTTTGTCTTAATGAAGTAGCTTTATTAGTAATCGAATATATGTCCAGGGTAGGTCCCAAGTTCAATTCACTTTTTTTGGTACCCCTTAGCATCTTGTAAGTCACTGACATATGATTAGGAGGGAAAACCTCTATTTGATGATTATAACTAATTAACTGATTTACTATAAAGAGTATATTTTATGTTTCTTAAAATATAAGAACATAATAAATTAATGGGATCCTTAGTTTTTATTTATATCCTAACCTCCTTTGACACTTTTAATATATTCAGGGTCTTTCCCCCCAATACGTGAGTGGTCTCGAAAGGAGCTTTACTATTCCCAAGCCAAAGTTCTCTTGAGGGAAATAAATAATTTTAAATTACTTTTCCAAATTCCATGGGGCTGCAAGTCATATAAAAAATTTTTTAATGGGTTATTCACATTGATCTGCCTATTTTCCTCTAAGTTTGCTTCCTCTTTCCAGGCTAACAGTACCCACTTTGTAGACAATAGAGGGTTTCCAAGAGCTCACTTTGCCTTCTCTGCACGACTTACCCTCCTACCCTGTCCAAGCTTGACCCTCAGACACCCCCCTCACTGCCCTGCCATGGCAGCCGCCACTCGCAGACACGCCTGCCCAGCAGGAGACTCTTCAGCAGCGCTGTGAAGAAGGCACAGAGCACCAGAAATTTCTATTTCCTTTCTCTTTACAAAAATAGTCGTTTTGAGTCCGAGAAGGAAGAGCAAAAAGTAAATAAACTACCTTAAATGACAAAAGAACTCATTCCATTATTTAAAGGTCTAGGAAAGCAGAAATACTGGCGAAGGAAGAAACATTAAAGACAAGTGACAGTGTTGCCAGCTAGGCAGTACAGCATTGGTCAGTAATCAAGGGAGAGACTGCAGATTATTAAGGGTTGTTCAGGTTAAAGGTAAACACAGTATGCCACGGCACAGGTGGAGAGTACAGGTTGTAAATAATGGAAGGTTCACGGCTTCCATTGTGGGTAAATACAGACTTGGCGCTCAGCACGCATGCACGCACTGACAAGGGAATGCATCGATCTAAAAGACCTATTCCCTTTGTTTCACTAGGGAGAAGGCAAGTGAACTAAGTGCACGCAAACACCTGTCTCCTAAATATAACTGCGAGTCCATTTCACAATCCCTATGAAATTTTTTTTAAAAGGTTTAAGAATGAAACAAAAACATTCTCCATGTTTGATCACTAAAAATTATTAGTACAGTCACAAGAAAGAAAGGTACTTTGGCTTTTACTCGATGACTATTTGCTTTCACTGTGTGCACTACTCCAGGTGTTTGGTTACCTGACCACGCATTTTAGATACTCCAAAAGCCATGATAGGAGACAGAAAGCCAAACCAAAACAAAAATATGCCCAACCCAGCTTAAAAAAAAAAAGTATAGCTTCAGGACATCACCAGAGTACAAGGTAAGAACAGCACATTCACAGGTGTTCCTGAAAGCGTTTTTCAAACGCTCAATACACAATATTTAATAGGAAGAGGGTATTTTGTTAAAATAAAATTCAAGTGCTCAGTATGTCACCTGACAACTAATGCATATAATAACGATATTAAGATACAAACTCAGCTGTAGTTTAACAACAGAATAAGAAACCCAGATTTGAGGTATTTCAAACTTGTAAGAAATCAAACAGCAGTGATGGATAGCTCCTACGTGGAAAGGTTTGCTTTTTCCTTCCTTTGTTAAAGCTACTAAAAATAAAAGGGGCAAAATTGCTCAATAAGAAAAGTTTTATCAGGCCCTCCCTGGTGGCGCAAAGGGTTAGGATGCAGCACAGCAAGCTGGCCACAGCCGCTTTCAGTGCGAGTTCAATCCCCGGCCCTGGAAGTGACCACATGGCTCAGCAGACCTCTTCTGTTTCTCCCAGTGCTCCCTTCAACAGTACTTTGTAGATCTGCCTGTTCTGCTCCCCACTCTGTCTCTGGTGAATCCTCTCACTGCCCCTGCACTCTGGCCTGTACCCTAGTTCTGTGTGCATAAATAAACAAATCTTTAAAAAACAAAAGTTTTTTTTTTCCATGGATCTTAGTCCCAGCCAAACTATAGTTATATATTGCCTAAAATTATCTCTTTATGGTTTTGAAGTGTTTAATAGAAAAGAAAAACTCAAGTTTTAAAACAGATTTTACTTTAGACAGATAATTATGGAGTTCAAATTCAAATTCAGCTTTATGACAACTGTGGGAAGACCAAAGAGTGTCTTTAGGCTGAGAACATAACCCTTGAGAAAGGCAATGGTCTTTTTAAAAAATTTATAGTCATAAAGATCAAAAGGAGACACAATGGCAATGTTATTCTCAATGCAATGACTTTCACACCTAAATCTCTGAAGCCCTGACCCAGCCCATCCAAACTCCTAACTCACATCATTAGCTTCCTGTGAGTACCTTGTCTTCTGCACAAGCTAAACACTGGCTAAGCAGAACAAACCCCTCCCGCCCCTCTACCCCCTGTAAGCCCAGCCAGCCTCCTGCCTCATTTCCCAATCCCTGTCGCGCAGCTGTGAAAGGGCTGTTTCTCCTGTTGCTGTCACAGGACTCAGTCCAGGCCCTAATCGCTTCATCTGGCCCTAACAGATTCCTGACTGGTTTGTGTGCTGCTACTTTCTTCCCTTACGTTACTGTGCCTGAAGGGCATTTTAAAATCATTTTTCTTCTGTGACTCCCAACTTGAACAATTCTTCAATGACAAAAGGACAAAGTTGCATGTGAGCCACCTGACTGACATTCAAGATTTGTAGAGACGGCCTGGCTGCTCAGTGCGCAGTGCTCTGAGGCAAGTCAGTGGCTCACGGTGCAGCAGTCTGGCTGCCAGTGACCCTCGGATGCCGTCTCCGGGAGGCTCAGGAAGTTTACGCTCACTCCGAGAGGCTACTCGTTTATGAACACACAGTGCTTGATTCCTACACACAGGCCATTCCCCCTGCCACACAGGCGCTCTGCCTCTTAGGACACACACACTTCCGAACTGTCAAGAGGCTGAAAGTTCTCTTCTGTGGCTCTGGAAGATGTCCATGCTACTGCTGAACTTGTTATCTGTGCCCGTAACTTGCACATATTTCTTTGGATTGCTTAACAAATGAATAAACAAGCTGTACCTGTTTTCTACACAATAAAATTGTAATAGACTCACTGTCTCCAATACCAGCAGGGATGGCTTATTAAGATCTTAAGTTGTTGTCAAAGCATTTACTGGGAGCTTTATACAGTATTACTATTACTCAAAAGCAACCTTACAAAGTAGATATGTCCATTGCCTTTATGTCAGAGAGATTAAGCAAGTTTCCTCAAATTAGAAATTGTAAAGGTTAGAATTTGGGCTATCCAATATGATAGACACTAGCCATATGTGGTCAAGTTTTAATTAAAATTAGCTTTCAGCATTACTTAAATGCTGAAATACAACAGATTTACTACACTAGCATTGCTTCATGGCCAACAACCGTTCTTGTGTGTGGCTCCCGGGACAGTGCAGATGGTGTGTTTGCACCCAGTTCTTATGGTGCTGCTCTAGGGCTGGGTACTACACCAGTGTGCCTGAAAGAGAGGCTTAAGCTGTGTCCAGATAACAGCTTTTTGCTTACTGCCACGAGCAGATGGGCTGCAGACAGAAAAGTCACCTAGCTTCTCTATAGAAGCAAACCAGGTGAGGGGTCACTGGGAGGTGTTCTACTTTCCTTCTCTTTATCCTTCCATCTTTCTTCTCCAACACATACGGGGTCCCACAAATACTTGTAAATGATACTTTACATAAGAAAATGCATTTTTTTTCTCTCACTTACTCACCACAGTGTCTTGATTTACCCTTTTTCCTAAGGAAAATACAGAGCTTCGAGAGACAAAGCACCTTGCGCACAGCCATAAAGCTGGCAAGGTGGTGAGTGCGGCTCTAGTTCTAAATAAAAGAGTTTTGCAAAAGAGTACAACTTGCCTGTTCATTTGACTAAACTGTTCAACTCTGGAGCAGAGGCCAATTAAAAGGGACACAAAGAAAGGGCTAAGGAGAAAGCATACACTTTCTTTTCTGCCTCTCCTCCTCACCTAGCAACTACAGCTATGCTTCAGAGCTACTTCAGGCTGGCTCGATGGTGCTAGATTTAGACAGGCCAAACAGCGTTTGATTCTGACGTTCCAGAATCTGGGAGAAGTGCTCCTGGGCCAGGAAGAAGAGCTTACGTATGTCATCACCTCTTTCTAACAAGTGAGGAATATCATTACAGCGAACAGGTGTGGAAGACAGAGCTCTAGAAGATGAGAAGTGAAGGGCACCATGACATAAAGTAAAACAAGCTGACTCATGCATAAAATGTGACATATCAAAGTATCTACTGAGGGCTTCCCTGGTGGCACAAGGATTTAAAGAGCAACACTAGGAAGCTACCTGCAGCCCCTGCAGCACGAATTTGATCCTCAGCCAGGAAGGTGCCCCACATGGGGTGGCAGATCTCTCTTATCTTGCCCGCTGCTCCCCTCAGTGTATTTTAGTTGATCTGCCTGTTCTGTTCCCTACTCTGCCTCTGGTGATCCTCACACCCCACTCCCACCCCCACCCGCAGGCCTCTGGCCTATACCCCAGTTGGTATGCATAAAGAAATAAATCTTTTTTTAAAATAAGTACCTATTGATACTAATGCTAAGAATGTAAGCTTCAAAGAAGACAGGAACTTTATTTCTTTGACTTTGATGAATCCCCATGTGTATTGCTAAAAACACATAATTTGATTTCTCTTTCTATTGGGTGATGACATTTTTTTTTTTTGCAGTCCACAGAAAAAAGGAAAAGAACACCTTTACCTTATTTTCTTCTAAAAATTTCAGTTTTATGGAGACATCATTGCGCATTTTATCATATTTTTCTTTGTGTGTCTGGAACATATGCTGTGACTGCTCGATCTTTGGCAAAGTGTTTGCATCACGTGGTCCTAGATTTAATTCTTCCAAATCAGTGCGATAAGCATCATATTCAATCCTGGAAAGAAGAGAGTAAGTGAAGCATACTCAAAATATAGTACTAACGGATAAATTTAAGAACCAGACAATGTCAAAACCGAATGCCAACTAGATCTATGGTAGTGATTAAACCCCATGCAAAATGACTAATGTTGGTGAAACATCAGGCTTTAGAATGACATACTTTGATTGGTAAAAGGAAGTTACAGTGGGGTAGCTGAAGGTAGTCAAAGTCAGCAACACACACAAAATGTACAATGCAAGTCACATAAGCAAGTTAAAACTTCTAATAGGCACATGAAACCAATAAATCCAATTTTCCTGCTTTGGTAATAACATTTTATTTTATCTAACACATCTAAAATATAAACTGTAACATGTCTTCAATGTAAAAAAATTGATAATGAGTTACATTTTACTTCCTTGGATGAGCTCCGGGTCTTTGAAATCCATTGTGTATTTCATATTTCCTTCACACTTCAGAATAGCCATATTTTAAGTGCTCAACAGCAGACATGGCCAGTGGCTGCCGTAAGGTACACAGCAGCTCTTGATGGACCCCCGTAACATTAGTATTAGCATGGACAATGGCATCCGTTACAGAGCAACTGGCAGCTGTGTGTTCCTGGCAACGCCTCACTTTGTGTCACGTTAACCAAAACAGTTAACCCCATAGCTCCTCATACTACTTCTATGACAGCCTCTGTGAATGACAGCACTACATGTTGATTAGACAGTGATTTATCCGGCAAGAAGCAAAGTGACCTCTGGTTTAGTCAAAACAAATACAACAAAGCTCTAAATCTAAAGGTCTTTATTCAAGTATCTGTAGAACTACTTACATCTCCTGTCCTGGGAATCAAGAATATTTTAGAAAATATAACATAAATTTTATTGCATTTATTTCAACAACAAATATACCGAGCCAAACTTACTAACAACTTATCTAATTTAACCACTTGATCTTTCAGGTTCAAAAGAAAATCCCTCATTTTCTGATAAATTCATTCACTTAAGGAATATTCAGTGCCCAGGTCAGAAGAACAGATAAAGTTTATTCTTAAGTAGCTTACAGTCTAGAGGGAGGGAAGCTCTTAGACAACTACAGCAAAATGAGAAAATGTGTAAAAATGAGAGGAGATGGGCGAAGATAAGGGATGGTGAGCATTAGGAGGAAGAATTACCTTACTCAGGAATCTAAAGGCATCTCAGGGCACAGTTAACATTAGAATTAAATTTTAAAGGATGTTTATTTACACTTCCTAGGTGAACTGGGACAGGGAAATGGCTAGAACATTTCAAGAAGAGTGTACTATGGACAAAGGCACAGACTCAAAAGGTGCCACAGCACGAGTGGGAGGTGATTAATATGGAAGAACTTAGGCAAGTTAGAACTCAGTAATGGAAGGAATCGAAGTCAGGGTAGGCAGGACTGAGATTAAACCAGGGCCTGAATGACCACACTAAAGGTATCAGATTTAATCCAGCAGGATGAAGGATAGGAAGCCATCGGGAAAATGCTTTCTAATAAATGACAAGATTCTCTTTATTTAGCACAGAAAGATGAGTCTAGTGGTAGTGTAAGGAAATGAAGACGGACTGGAGTAGAAGATTAAGGAATCAGAAGCGGCGAAACTATCAGAACACTCTGTGCAAAACAGAAACAAGGCACTGAGTCGTACAGTGGCAGATGGAAAAGACTGAGTAGTCAAGACTGACTTGGTATGACACAAGCTAGTTCTGCCGCCAAGCTGAATGACCACTCTGTCCTGCTCTGGCTTGAAAGCTTCAGCTAATGCTTTCTTCCTGCTTTAGTTTTTTATCTATAAATAGGAATAAATAACCTCTATCAAAACTTCACACACACACACACACACACACACACACACACACACACACATATATAAATTCTTAGGACTCATGGCAACAACAGCACCTTTACCGCGCTTATTATTATGGCCAAGTTAGAAGAGGGCTCGTTGGTAGCAACAGTAAGAAATTAAATGCAGGAAGAAATCAAAAGAGGAAAAAAGTGAAACAAAATAGATAGCAGCATGTGGTGATTTAACAGGAAGGCAAATGTATTTTGATACCCTTTGAACACATTTCTAAATAATAGGGATTAATTTAAACAGTCAAAGTTTTAATACTAACTACACATCCCCTAATTTTGACATCTAGTTTGCAGTTGGTATCAAGGTACAACTTCCCAAAGGACTTTCTCTAATAGTGCTCATTACCACCGGGAAGAGCAGTACAGAGTTTGCAAAATGCCAGTCTGAACTGAGTCCACGGTTTGATCAAGTTAGTGGTAGCTGGCTACATTATGGCTGAAGTAAAACTCCTAGAGGACAGGTGTCCACATTTGCAAAGTGTTGACCACAATTGACTTCCTTGTTTGGTGCTACCCTAGAGAAGCACTGAATGAGCTGTTCTAAGATTTCTCTATACATGAAGCACCAGAGGGCTAGGAAATGCTGGGACACAATGCATAATAGGGAGCATTAAAAGGCCACCCAGACTCTAAATTGCCACTTTTTTGTGCAGATCAAATGGACAACCTTTGCCCTATGGGTCAGTAAATTCTGGGGTTGATCATGAAGAAAAGCCAGCTACTGAAGAACTTTTAATCTGGGATACTTTTTGACTCCTGAAGAGATAATGTTAATCAGACCTATATGTTGCAGAAGTTCAGATCTTATGTAACACTGTACTTTGTCAGACTTATAATCACAAGACATGACATTATTTAAACAAAACTGAGTATTAACACACGAGATTAACTCAATTTAAGTTTAGGGTTGACTGATCAAAAGAGGCAGGTGGGGTGCCCAGGGGTTTCCATCATGGCTCTCAAGTGGGGTCCATGTCCGTAAACTATCAGGCCTCCAGAGGCTTATTTTTCTCTTCTACAAATGAAATGTAACATGTTTTGTGGGTGAAGAATGGTCTGTCTAACAGATCTGTGTTTAATACAGTTTAATGCAGGGCTGGCCTAACAGTTAATATTTTTAACAGTAAGAAAAAGGTGAAAGAGAAAAGATATTACAGGACTAAAATAAATTTTATATTTTAAAATATAGTGGGCAAAAATATATACCAAAAAATGCATTTTGGGATAGGTAGACAATTACAAAAATAAACAGAAACTAGATTCATATAGTTCTTAACTGAAAGGTTACAAGAGTTCTTTTTAGAACAAAACAATTTTCATATTTAAAATTTCCTAATATTAAAACAATCTGAAAGGGAGGGGACAAAAAAATAAATAAAGCACCCTAAAAAAAAATCAGAACACCAGAATGTTTAAAATGAGCCAGGAGCTAAAAAGGGAGAGTATTCATTATATATAAATCAGGATATTATGAAGGAGTAGACAGCTTTGGAAAAGAACCAAATAAAATTTATAGAATGAAACTTGTACGTAACAGAGCCTTTGAAAAATACAGACGATGGGCCCTCCCTGGTGGCGCAGCGGGTTAAAGCACTGCACTAAGAAGCTTAAGCCGCTTCCGGGTGAGTTCAATCCCCGCCTGCCCCACAGGAGATCCACATGGCGCGGCAGACCTCTCCTGACCCGCCCGCTGCTCCCCTCAGCAGTGTGCTTCGTCAATCTGCCTGTTCTGCTCCCCGCTCTGTCTCTGGTGAATCCTCTCACCCTCCGCATCTCTGGCCTGTACTGTATGAATAAATAAATAAATCTTAAAAGAAAAAACACAGACGATGCCCACAAAAGGATTTTTCACAAAGGGATTTAAAATGAAACTGGGAAAGTAAGAGCTTTCCTATTGATAATTTCTACCCTCTAATTTTAATACTATGTTAGTAAATAACTCAAAAAATAAAGTAGGAAACCAAGCCCAAACCCACAAGAAGGCGCACAGCCCCAGGCCCATCCTCTCACCAGAAAGCCACAGTTCTTTGTCTTGACCAAGTAAGAGTCTCAAATGTTAATGCTAAACTGAAAATTATAGACGCAGCATAGGACAGAAGTATCTCTTCTTGTAAAAGATCAAAAGCAAACTGTGTAAGTGATTTGGGCTTTGACTTATGTAAGTCATAAAGAAATATATACTTAAGAATAAGCAGTCAAATGCAAAAAAGATGAGACGAGTTTAGAGTTTTCATAGGCATTTCTCACATCATTAAACTAGGGCATCAGGCCAAAAAAAGTAAAGTTATACTTCTAAAAGGTAAAGTTTACACTCATCTTTAAATACACTATAAAAAGTATAACAGAAAATAAGAATTCCAAGTGTTCAGAGGGAAAAACCCAAAGGAAATTAAAGTGAGTGAGGAAAAAAGTTGGGCTTAAAATCAAATCTAAAAGTACTATGATAGTCTGCTGCTTTTCCAACATTTATTAAGTATTATTAATATGTACTTTATTTACCTAACAGGATGGTTATGGATAAGTTGTGCTGTGTGTGGGTATGAAATGTATGAAACACTGCATTAGAAACAGTTATGAAAATACAAAGCAAATTATGAATATAAGAGTTTGTAAAAGTGCGATCATTTGAAGGCTGGTTATAATTTGGATAAAGGGAAGATCAGGGAGTTGGTATTTGCAATATAAACAAAATCACGTATGTAAAGCTGAGGTGAGAGCTTCAGAGAAATTGAAAGTCCGAGTCTGGCTGCTGCAGTAGCAGGTAACTGTTACATTGGGAAATAGTAAAAAGAAAAGTAGGTAACAAGGTTAACTTCAGGGTAGATTATCAAGGTCATCTAGTATCTACCTGGTAGAACACACTAAGCATCACCTCGAGTCTGCTCTCACGCCTTATTGTTAGTTCTGCGGGCTAGCCCATATGGCCTTTTAATACATTGTTTTTCTGCCCATATCGGTCAGAGTTGGGTTTTTGTTTGCAGCCAAAACCGTTCACTGAGACAGTTACTGTCTGCTGGGCAATACAGTGAAAATGTATACCTACCTGGCACTTTCGTACTGTTTCACAGTCATTAATGTATCTTCAATTGTTTTATTCACCAAAGTGTTCACACTGGCAATGAAAAAATTAATGGCCCCAAGAAGAGTCTCTCCATTTTTAGCCAGCAGCTTCTGGGTATCTGCATTATAGCCAAATTCTTCCTAAAACAAAGAAGTCACCTTAACTTATCCTGTAATAAATAAGCAAAAGAGACTAAAAAAGTTCTCAAACACACCACTGGTGGGAAGATACTTGATTTAAAAATGCTGGGCATAGATTGTTTCTTTCAATCTTTTAATAAATAGGAATCTGAATCACAACTACATGGACAGTTAAAGAAAAAAGTCTAGTAGGCTAAAATTGTCATTAGCTCAAATGTATACAGAAAATCAAATAATTTTAAAAGGCTGAACTACCCTGTACTATAAACTTTGTTTCTATGATATTGTAAGCACAGCTGTTAGGAAGAACTATATAGCAGATTATTAATCAGTGAAACTATAACTTTCACAACCAAATTAGGTAACAATTGGCTAAAACTTTCAGACATAGAACAAATGGCAATTTTTGGTGTTTTGATGGAATCTCTTCTAAGTATAAATATTAACAACACACATTTCTGTGTAAACGTAGTGAGCAGCTGACAACCAAGTTCAGGTCTGTCCAGCCCACAGCAGAGGGAGGATCACTCAGCACCAGCTTTAGTTCTTTTCCCTCTGAATAAACTGAGTCTGGACTCAGTAAGCATCCTCCATGTCCTTCAGATATGGCAAGCACTCACTCTAATCTTTCAGCAGTGAAAGCTTTTTGTTCAAGTTTGAATAGTTAATTATCAGGAACATATCCGACCAAAGACAACATTTGTAAGCTGTGTCATTAAATATGAGTTCTTAAGTTTGGTATAAAGCACTGTTTAATTTTAGTTGAAAGCAATTTAATATTAAATTAAATAGAACCTTAGGAAAATGCAAATGTAACGCTAGTGCTATACCTGTGATTAAATTTCTAAGTGTTAAAATACTCGATAATTCAGTAAATATCAGAAGTAAAATCATCTTTAGTATGCTAAAAGGATTTTTCATGTAAGAGAGGTTCATGTAACTACTCTGGACTCCATTTTCAAAATTTTAGATCCTGATGGGCCAATATCGGCAGATACAGGATTACATAAAAGGAGTATCAATCAGTGTATGAGTAAACTAGGTGGAGGCAGGACAGCTAAAGCTCTCTGGCATCACGTGTTTACAATATGCACTGAAGACCAAAGCAGGTTAGTGGAACTAGAAAAAATACAGGAGGAAAAAAATCATCTTCCAACTTTAAAAAAAAGTTCACATTACACTGGCATCATTAAGAGGTAAAGGTAAAATAAGTCAACACAAATGAAGACAAATATGAAAGTTGAAATGGCTATAAATATTATAGTTCATCATAAAAAGGAAACTTTTTACTGGTGGTAGAACCAAGTATTATGTCATTACATCATATCCTTGTAATACCACTCATTTCTAAGCATTCTCAATATCCACAATTCTGTATTACTAACTTTGCAAATGTTATTAGCCTATACAATTTAGAGGGCTGCTCATTTGCTAAAAACAAAGATATAAAAAACTACACTAAGATGAACGAGTAGCAGATTGAAATGGCAGAACTTGGAAGCCTATATTAACAAGTAAGGAAACAGGCCTAAACTCAGAGCAGAAAGGAAGCACACACTGAGACTGCTGTTTCATGAGTGACAAGTCTCACCTACAATCCTGAAAGAAAATGTGTACAAAATTTAGGTTCTTGATGTATAATCTGAAAACTGGCTAGAATGAAAAGCTTTTTGCTATAAATGTAAAAGACAGTGGTGAAAGATAAAACACAACTGGGACCCTAGAAAGAAATGAACATACCTATGCTTGTGTATAGGCTGCAAATAAATGTATAATTAAACATGACTTTTTAATGCTGAAAAGAAGATAACACATGACTCCTAAACTTGACCTAGTTGATAAATAATTTTAGTATTCTCTGTTGGGCAGGGGCATTTCATGCACTACTGTCATCTGCCTTAGCAAACTAAACATAAAATAATTAAAGGGCATGTACACCAAGAACTGGGCTGTAGCTGTAACTGTCACAGAATAAGGAAGGCCAAATAGTTCCCTGCTTGACAAACTTGATTATCTCTCTATAAAGAGAGAACAAAGTTTCAAAACACTCCTTTTTTTTTTCTTCCTAGCATCTCCTCCATCATTGACAATATTTTCCAGATATAAATTTACCAGACATGATTTTCCTGTTGAAGTTTAGGGAGTGAGTAATAGAAGCACCTGATAGGTGTAAAAACATCAAGTTTTAGTAATACAAACTGTTACTTAATCAGAAACAAAAAGGCTATTCTAAATAATTCATAGCAGTTAAAATCTAGAATCACAAGCACTGATAATAAACAGTAATAGCGACTGTATGGATTTTCCTGATCTTGATGGAGAGGTGACCTCTAGATGGGGAACTACAAGCTAGTGAAGGGCCATGGTATATCTATTAGCCAGAAAGCATGTGATGAACGGTCAAAGTCCAGATCAGGGATTCAAGCTGGCAAAGTGTTCATACCTTTGAGTCTGCCACTGACTGAAGCTGTGTGTTTCCTGAATATCTCAAATTCTTTGGGCCCAGCTTCATTACTAATAAAAAGTTAATTTCCTTACAAGGAAAAACAGTAACTTGTATGAAATTTCTGACAGATGACGGACATTCATTGAAAGGTCATTTTCTATTCCTGACAGGAGACTGAGTTTTTGCTTTTTATTGTTAAATATTGGTTGTCTCTCCAGACTAAATAAAGGAATTGGATTAATCTTAATATTCTTTGACTCTCGGATACCACAATCCCAACAGCAGCTATAAGAACCACCATTAATCCTGTCAGTGCCACTATATGCCAGGTGTTGGCCGCATCTCCCAAGGATTTTAGCCAGTACAGCAAACAGTGGAAGGCAGTGGACACCTGTTCTTTGCTGCTCTACAAATCTCGTCAAAAAGAATCAAGAGGCAAAGGAGAAGGTTATTCTGTAGGCTGGTGTGACTGGCCCTTACCAGTAAGGAAAATTAGACAGCTACTCTAACATGCGGTAAGCAAGGGCATGCCTGGAAACAGGCTGCGTGCCAGGGCAAAGTACTGCCACGCCCTGTGTTTAAGAGTAATGGAAGACTACAACCATCCACTTCAGGCAGGAATACTAGTGGCCCAGACCTAGGAATGAAAACTGAGTCGTCCACCAGGCAAAGACACAGGGAAGGTTAAGATGCATATTCCATGCAATAGGAATGAATAGTGGAAGGAGGATAGTTATGCTCACAGGACCCTTTGGGAAAGGAGGAATACAAGGTACAGGTCTTTCTTTTTATATCCTCTTGTACTATATTAACTTTATAATTTTTTAGGTACTGCTAATTTTATATCATAGTACTTACATTCTAGGGTATCAAGAAAGAAAGTGAATGCTATTCAAAACCTTTGCTTTCTTTTCTATGGAAAGAGCTGCTGTGTCTTTCTACACAGGGATGTTGTATCAGGTTCAGTGGAAGTATGTTAACGACTTTAGCTGGAGGTTAAGTATGGTTTAAGGAGATGTGTATCGTGCTAAGTTGGCAGCGGGTTGGCTGCGAAGGTTAACTTAATGTGTCCACTTGCCGATGCTGTCCAGTTGGTCAAACACCAATATAGAAACCTCTATGAAGGTACAGATTTTGCTGATGTAATTAAATTTGCAATGATAAATATTGCAGATATTTTAAAATTGACTTTAGCATGCTTACGTCAATGGGTGGGCCTCTCCAATCAGCTGTAGGTCTTAATAAAACAAAGACTAACCTCTCCTGAGCAAGAAGGGCCTCAAAACACAATTCTCCATGGGTCTTCTATCTGTCAGGTCCCCCTGCAAGTTTTGGGATGTACTGATGCTATGTAACTGCTAGAGAAAATCAATCTCTATGAATCTATACGTACTGTTTGTTCTGATTCTCTGGAGACTATTGATCCATAAAACACCATTTCCTTTCTATTCTAAAAAATATACTCCTATTCACTGACACTTGAACTTAAGAAAATTCATCTATGATATCATGTGAGGACTCAGCCTGAGAGTTCATATATATTATCAGTTTTGCCAATGTAAGACTTCATCTCTGCATTCTGTTCTGATTTGTCTAGCAACTGTGAAATGTCTTCCTCTAGTATTGACTACTCTTAGCCATTAAGGGCAGAAAAGGAAAAATTCTAAGTTCTCAATTGTGTTGCGTGAATATTAAAGAAAAACTAAAATGCTTTCTACAGATTTTTGCAACAAACAAAAAGTATTTACTTTCCTATTGTATTATTCTTCTAAGATAATACCATCGTTCTTTTGTTTTCTTTTTATCTTAGTCATTTTTAACACTGTTGGAGAGAACTAAATATGCAATGGTGATGTAATTCCCAAGATGACAAAACAACAAAATGTTTTAAGACAGAGGAAAGACCACTAAAGTAAAAATAAAATAATACATTTTATTCTATTATAAAAATAAGTAAATTTTCTCTAAGACTCAAAGTCATGAAATATTAATCCTTAATCAAGTCAGTACCTACTGGAGCCAGGTGAGAAAAAAGACATACATGGAGTCACATAAAATGCCCTAAGAAAACTTTTATCACTCTGTTGTTGTATGTTTATAGAACCATAAACAGAAAAATAACTTCGCTGTAAAACTCATTATTTGTATTAAAAATTTCAGTAAAGATATCATCATAAATACAGTTTGTTCAAGACACTTAAAGAGGACTGCTGAGATTTACTTTATACTCAGGCTCAACTGTATATACCATGATGCTCTCTAGGCTCAGAAGGGTAACAGCTCCTTTTCCTTTGCTTTAACAAGCTGCCTTCTCCTGAAGCCTCCAGATGACATCCCATGCTGAGTTACTTGGGCCTTCTCAAACATTCTATCAAAATTTCAGTAACTCAAATTTATTAGGAGTTTAACAAATCAAACTGTAGGAAATAACATCTTACAATAGTTCTGTCACTATCCTTCTACCTCCCACTTCCCAATAGTTATTTAAAATAATCTTACATGGAGTTCTAGTGACTTCAAACTCAGGTCAGCGAATGCATCACCAAGTTGCCTTTGGGTATGCACCATCTGGAAAAGCTGGGTTGACAATGTCTGAGCCAATCTTAGAATATTTTCATATTTTTTCTTGTTATCTCTTAATACATCAATCTGAGCTTCAAGTTCAAGGTCCACGGTTCTTGAGCCTCGGCCTAGCTTCTCAGAGATAATTTGTCGAGTACACTGTAAGTAGAAAGAAAGATGTACTTTGTTTAGGAAGAAAAAGAGTAAAACAGGATTCTAAAGTACAAATATTAGAGCATGTGGTAAAAATGTTTTGGCTTCAAACAAACAAGCCTATCAGATTAAAAATTGTCAGTCTCCTTAAAGTTCTTCTGGACTCATAAACTCACCAGGTATGTCTAGTAACTGTCACTAACCAGAGGAGGCTTCTTTAATGCTTATCTACCTAATTTATGCACTGCAGATGAGCTCTTTCCCATGATCACTTTCACGCTAAATGGACTTGGACAGGTTATTTAAAACAAGAGGGGGTGCTTAGAATTGATTAAAAATAATACTACACTGTTAATACAGGAATTATATAAGAAAAATTCTACTACTCTCTTAATGGTTTCAAATACTGTATCCTTTTTATCTTGCTCTTAGATAACTGTGTAGGTATATAAGTAGATGAAAGAAGGAAAAGAAAAAGAGGAAAGAAGAGGTGGTGGAAGAGAAAGTAAGAGAAATAAAGTGAGGGGAGGTCTGGGAGGGCCAGGAGCCAGAGAGAGGGAGGGAAATCGCAAGAGAGACAGACTGAGGTTGAGGCTGAGACTGGCTACAGATACTTGAAGTCTTCTTTTACTTTTGCCCAGGTGGATATAGTATTGTTATTCTACTCTGTCCCAGAAACTAGGATATAGACACTTAAATTTTTTTTTCAAGCGTTTGATTACCAAGATGTAAACTTTCTCAGTAGGTTTTGTTAGAAATAAAAAATTATAGCAACTTCATCACTCAACAGTACATTTTTAAGATAACCATAGAGAGCACTAGTAGATGTCTCATCATTTAAAATTAATAAATATATTCTTTAAAAGTAGTAAATGCGATTTTTAAAATTTTAAAATGTGCTATTTTAATTATTCTCTCAAAGTATGATTGCATAGTTAATATTTGATGTGACACTTAAAATACTACATGAAATAAAAGTTCAATTTCCTCTTCCTTCTGTTAATCCCACTAAATATTACAAAATTATGATAAGTAGTTCGATGGATAGTCTAGACTCCCCCTTAAATATATTACTACAAACAGCATCTTAAATATGCATGAGGGGTGGATGAAAATGGGGGAGGAACACCACAGAGCGACAGGCGGACCACAGGCATGCTGGTGGTGGGCGAGCTACAATGGCCACACCTGAGGGAGACATTCTTTGTCAGAAAGTTTACAAAGGTTTAAAACAAAAGTTCATCATTAATAAAAACTTCAACATTACACACTTAATATCCTAAACATTTCTTTTCCACAAGTATCTTGAGATGTTTCTGAGTCAATACACACAAATCTATATTTAACCTCTTCAAGATTAACTTATTACATGTTATTCACATATTTTTGTATTTAAAATTAAAACAAATACGCTGCCACATTCTCTAGTCTCATTAGTCAAAGATCTTTAAGACTAAATGCTTTTTTATAAAGCCATTCTTTTTATTTTTAAGGAATTCTTAGAATATGAAAGGTGAGTTCAAACTCACAGAAGCGTAGTAAAGCTATCACTGCGGAAAATATAAACACTCCTAGAAGATAAAAATTATATCAAAAGTTTTAATTGCAGGTGTCATGATTTTTATGAGAAAAATATCAGCAAGAAATTTCTGAAATGGTAACATGATAAAGGAGATATGCCACTTATTCCAACTTTCCACCAGTATTCTCCCTGTACAATTTTATTAGAGATACTATCTCTGTTCTCATGCCAAAGCACGTGGCACCTTCCATAGGAACTCAATATGATCTGCTGAAATTCAGGAAGTCAGAACTGACTGAAGGCGTTGGGGGCTGGGCAAAATGAAAGAAATAGCTATTGTTACCTAACTGACCTTTTTTTTTCCCAAACAGAAATATGGTTACAAGTAGACAATAGGATTAACTATTAATCAATATTAACAGTTTCTATTATTAACTATTAACCAATAGTTAATGAGGAAAGACTTTTCTTTCCAGGAAGACATGGCAGTAAAGAATAAGGTGATGTTTATTATAAAGTATAGTAAGATAAATCTGCACACATAATACAAACTTGAAATTGATTTTAGAGTTTATATTCCAATATAGGCAACATATATTCTTAAGGAAAAACTAAAGTAATCTGAGAGCGAGAGCATAACAGATAGCCTAAGTGTAGCTTTGCTCAGGAAGCAATGGTGAAAAAACCAAGTTGCTAGTCATTTCCCCACTCATTAGAGCAACTTTCTCATATAATCACAGAAGAACAGATTTTAATTTAAACTGCTTCCAGATCTATACTGAAATTAAAATACAAAATAGAGGAGACTGGCATATATTATAAAGCAAGTTTAAAATACACGAGAGTAAGAATCTCAGTTCTTGATCCTCTTTTTTTTTTTAAAGATTCATTCATTTATTCATACAGAACTGGGGTACAGGCCAGAAATGCGGAGGGCGAGAGAATTCACCAGGAATAGAGTGGGGCAGAACAGGCAGATCAACGAAGTACACTGCTGAGGGGAGCAGCGGGCGGGTCAGGAGAAGTCTGCCACGCCATATGGATCTCCTCCGCACCATGTGGTCTCCTCCAGGGCAGGCGGGATCGAACCCATGCGGAAGTGGCTTAAACTTCTTTTGCAGTGCTTTAACCCGCTGCGCCATCAGGGAGGGCCTCTTGACCCTCTCTTAAAGTCCCTAAAAATATGGACAATCTACAAGGAACTGCTGGTCTTACTCAATTTTCCACAGTAACGAATTAAAAATTCATTTTAAAGATCATGGGGCAAATGGAGCAAAGTTAAAGGGGCAGGAAGTAGCAAAGTAAACTACTGTTCTATGTAATCCTCTTCTTGGGTTAAGTAGATGAAATAAAATGATAATGTGTGAAATACCATGAGCCACCATCATACAAGTTCAAGAATTTATAAGATACTTGCTGTGTACTCTGAGTGTTTAAATAGCCCTAAGAACTTTCCTGGTAATACCAAAAAACAGGCATTTAAGTACAAGGAAAAGTTCATAGGAACAAACGACAGGGATTAAAAGAATTATTAAGTGTTAAGGGTAAGAAAGCAACATAAACAGAAATATTAAAAACTGAACCGGGGAAATAGGTCAACGAGTAAATGAATAAGGTAATATGACAAGAAAAACAGGAATGGAAGTTTAAATGATACTGATTTAAAGACAACACAGATTAATTTGATAAGGGTGTGAATACTGGTGGCAAACTCACAAGTATTTTTAAAAAAGCATTTAAAATGTTTTTGGAAACATGCCAAATAGTCTGGAAGACTGAAACCAAAATTATTCCTAAAATAAATATCAAAAATGTATGTATGGACTTCAATTCTACAAAAGAAAACACAAAAATGAATATAAAAAAGAGATAAACTGAGTTCACTGTAACTATTTCTACTGATGAGATAAATAAGAAAATGAACAACTTTTGGATTTAAAATCTGTGAATGAAATAAGGCAGATTACAATATTAAAGAAGATGGGTTCAAGGCTTAAACTTAATATTGCTCTTTTATATATGGTCTTAATCACCAGATTGATCTTGGAACCAAAATTTACAACCAACACAGGAAGTACTACATATTTTTTTTTTTGAAGAAAAATCTTAAGGTATTTCCCATAGAATAGAAATAGTCAAAGAAATTAAAGATAAAATTCATTAAGGACCTGAAGTCTATGGAAGAGACTCAGTCTGAGCCAAAGTCAAGCTGAAGGATAACAGCCACTGTCCTACCTAACAAAACCAGAATTAAACCTTGGCTTACACAGATGGTGCTGAATGTCTAAGACTATCTTACAATCTGGACTGAAAAGGTCAAAAAGCCGCCTGATAGTTATTTAGAACTATACTGTCAATAACTCTGTTTCTTTTACTTGAGGCCTGTGTCAGCCCAGATACCTCAGGTTACAAAAACCCCATAAAATCACGTAAGTTGGGACTTTTATTTTTCTTTTGGCTTAGACTGAATTATCCAAATTAAGCTGATGAAAAGTTTTCAGCTAAAGTGAAGTGATTACAACGGGAAGAATGACAGCACCTCCGCATGGTATTGTGCTGTGTGTACGAGCAGCAGTGTAGCGACCAGTCCCACTCACTGACTCATCCCTTACTGTATGCTCTGTATGCTATATATGCCCTCTCTCTCTATATATATATATATATAAAGAAACATGTGATGTATTTATCAAGAATGTGATATGTTAATATGAAGGTAAATCTGAAATCTTAATTCAATTTACTTAAGAGATTATTTAGAAATAAGAAACCAAAGAAAAGGAATAGATCAGAAAACACAAATACAAGGAACAATAGAAAAAACATGGGAAACATGAACTAAACATGAGAGGAAGGTTCAAATGGGCAAAAGTTTAACCTTTGTAACTGCTAGAATTTGGTTTAGAATTAAAACCTGTATTAGTTAGGTTCAAAATGTAAGTACATTTTTGGATTTAAAAATCTGGGAATGAAATCAGACAGATTAGAATATCAGATTGCTGATTTTTGTTTATTAGCTAGAAGCAAATTCCATGAATAAATAAATGAACAAAGTCATAGCTGAGTAAACACAATAAATGAATGTAGTCCAACCTGGTCATGAAAGATAAGCAAGTTACATGATAGAAAACATGAAGGGAAATCCCAGCACCAAATATAGCCTCATGGATGGCTATAAAGGTGAGAGGAAGCAAGGTTTAGTGAGGAGATATCTGGGTATTTTGGTATGGATCACTGGCTGCAAGGGTAGAAGAGAAGAACATTTGGAATGATGAGGTCAGATTCATGCCAATTAAATGGGAAGTGAATAAAGGATTTTAAGCAAGAGGGACCACATCAAGCAGAGCACAATATGTAGTAACAACGATTGCTAAAAGGCTATTACACTACTGCGTGGGAGAAATAAATATGAAGTGGCTATGAAGCCTGGGATAGAGAAAAAGGGATAAAGGAAGAGCAGTAAAGCAGCAGAATCTATTTAACAACTGGCTAGAAACAGGAAATCAATGAGAAGGTGGGTTAGAAATGTGAGTATTTCGGTGAACTGTTGCCACAGGAGGTAATACAAAGGAAAGGACAATGTATGGGATAAACGAACCCTTATCTTGAGTAGGAGCAATGATGTCCTGAAGAGAATAGTTTGGGCAGGATCCATTATGAAGGCAACATCAGCATTTCTCAGATTCTACACTGACATAAGCTATGTTTTGGAAAGGCTAGTGAGCTTGCTCCAGGCATGACATCATCTTAAGAAAACCTTTATTTTTGTTGTGGATTCCAAATATTTACAAAGTATTAACTGAAAGAATAAGTCCACTTCTGTATTATTTTTGAGAAGACATAAGGACATGTACTCTATACAAATATGACAACTCCTAATTTTCAAACAACTAGACCCACCAATTCCTGAGTGCAAAATGGGGAATACGTCAACCTGAGCTACTAGGGTTTTTGATCCATTTAACTATTCCACAGACCCTGTTAGGATTTAAAGGCACTAGTGGCTTTGGGCCTTGAGCTATTTGTAAAACACATCAGAGAGAGATTAATTTGTTTATTTGTTTTACAAAGGGCATAAAACAAATAAACACCAATTACTCTGAAGCAGTATGATTAACATGTTAATAAACTTTTGAAATTCAACGTTTGTAATCTGGTGCTGTCTGCCCAGTTAATGCTCAGTTATTACAGTAAGACTAGATTCCAGATCTAGAAGCCAAACACACCCCCTGACATTTAGTTGCTATAAAGATGTCACAAAGAAGGAGGGGGAACAAAGTATCTGTAGTCATTCTACAGCTAAATGCATTTCAAACTGAGTATCAATTAAAATTCATTTTATAGTTTTCTTAAACTCTTTTGTGACTTTTAACTACATTTAAGCAATAATAAACAATACTTCTTTTTATATTTAGATGGCATCATTCTCTCCTATGTATTCATATTACACTATACAATTACAATATAATAATTGGAATAACATATGAATGAAAACTGTTAGAGCCAATTGGGTAGAAATATTAAATTACAAACCTTGTAGGTGTTTAGACTCCATTTTCTAACAAGTTCTAACTTTTCCATTGCAGGATTTTTAATTTCATCTGCCAGAATAACTGGTCCACTTTTTGTCTGTGCTTTCTGGCCACCTGCATGATCATAACAAAAGTTAAAAACACAAACCAGATCAAGACAAGTAGGGAAAGAAAAGAAAACTGGATGTTCTTCAAATTGAACAGCTGATGTATTTCAAAGCTAAGAACATTCTGAAGAGTTAAGGAATATAATATCCTGGGATTACTGAGGATAATTTCTTAACCTCCCAAAATTATTTCTGTCCATTAAATACAAATACCCTGTGGTTTGTCTCCTTTGGTCTTTAATAAAATAAAAAAGAAACTGAATTCTACTTTATGCTATCTACTCATAAGAAAGAAATTTCCGCAACTAATCTTATAACCTAACGATCCTAAAAGTACTGTCAGTGAAAGTCTGAAGGGCTCTGTACCCCCCTCGGTGGTCTTTCACTGTGTCATGGAGAGTGGGATAACAGTGTCCGAACTATAACTTTGAGGAGTTAGCGATCTAATTCAAATTTGAATAGTCATTAAAAATATCTTACCACCAGAATGAAGGGCTGGGTGAAAATAAGACCTATACTGCACCTCCTTTTTCCTAAAGGGACCTCCCCAAATCTATAATTAATGAGAGGAAGTTCAAAGTCTTGACAAGAGATTGTTCCAACACTATGAAATTATAACAAAGGCTATGCAGTTTCTACAGTGCAGTTTTTTTATGAGGAAATGTTTAATAAGTATATACTAATGAGTTAGGATAAAAACTTTATAATTAAAAACAATGAAATAAGGAGGGGAAAAAAAGGGTTTTAAAATGGTTTCTAAAGCGAGGTTCAACAAACACATCTTCTCTCTCTCTTATAGCCAGACTACTCTACCATAAGTTTACACAATCTATGACTGAAAATGATGTGCAAACATATATTTACAGAATTTTCATAGAAACTAAATACAAAATATATTACATATAAAAAGAAATCTGGAATTCAATTATTTTCCAGATTTAAATAGAGCTTATTATTTTATTTAAGTAAGCAATATTTGGTGTAGGGAAATCCAATGCACAGAAATTGACTTTCCCCAAGTAGCTTGCATGGGCCATAAACTGGTAAATAATATTTTGTCACCACCTGCAATCTACTTACAAGGTGAGACATAAAAGAGGAAACACAAGCTGTGCACATGACCCATGCTAATAATGGACAAACTCGTTAGCTGCTCAAGGCTCCCTTTTTGTTGAACTGAGGAGGGATAGAGGTGCAAAGCTGAGAGTTTAGGATGAAATAAGGGAACTTGACAACTTTCACAGCAGAGAGAGGATGCTTTAAAATGTCTTAAATTTTACAATGTTTCTTAATCTTTGTGAATTAAATTACAGGTTTAAGATAGAGCCTAATAACTCTGAAAAGCCAGAAAGACAGGCATAGCTAGAAAGATTATTTCTCTCATTGTTAAAAAAAAAAAAGCAGCCACCAAAAAAGCCAGAAACACACACCTAAGAATATAAAGCAAGCGATTATGAAATTGAGTGAATTAGTTTAGCTTCAGTAGCAGCAAGAAGGGCTTTATCCAACCAGCGCCGTGAATACCTGCAGGAACAATTAGCTCACTTCCTTGTTGAGCCGGCTGGCTAGCTGCAACCCTGCTAGGAGACATAACAGATGGCAATGGTGGAGCTGGGGAACCTGAAAAGGGTAGATAGGTAACTGTGAAATCCTTTTTCTTCCTTCCCATACTGTACGTTTTAAATACAGATTTAGTGACATTTCCTTTAAAACATCAAAAAACTAGGATTTAAAACGGGAATTAATATATTTGCTGCTTTGTAGGAAATGAATAATAAAAAGTGGGTGCAACCAGGTTGAGTTTTCATTAAACTATTAAAAGCAAACAAAACACATAACTGTAAAAAAGAAACTTGGCAAGGTCACAGCTTAAAAGGAGTATACCTGGACTCTGTTATTACCAAATCAATTAACTGACTGTGATTAATGTCTCATAGTTGAATGATTAAATATTTCATAACTTGCTATGCTTACGAGTAAAGCTATTCAAGAAAAACTCCAAGGGCATGTATTACAGAAATGTGAATGAATGCACAGTCTCCTCAGGAAATGCAGCCCAAAACCATAAACCAAGTATCACAAAGGCTATGTAAGTGCTATTCAGTGTAGATGCAAGAACCCTACTTCAATTAGGGCGTTTATTCAAAATGCAAAATCTCAGGCCCTGTCCCCAAATCTACTGAACCAGAATCTGCATTTCACTAGAACCTCGGATGATCTGTATTTTGAAGTTTGAGAAGTACTGACACAGAGTGTTATTTTGATTAAGCATAAGAATCACTTTTGTAGCTTTAGACTTCTGAAACAATCTGTAAGATCTGACCATCAGTTTTTTGTTGTTTATTATTTTTAAACAAGTTTAAGCTTTTAAATTTTGTCTTTCTCTAACAAATGATAACCATATATATTTAAAGTATACATGATCTTTTGCTACATGTTCACACGTGAAATCACCACCACAATCAAGCTAACATATATCCATCACTCATCACCTCTGTATGTGTGGTTAGAACATTTGAGGTCATTTTTTTTTTTTTTAGCAAACTGGAAGTATTCAATTAAGTACCTTATTATTAAATGCAGTCACCATGCTGCATATTAGGCACCTATCATTTTCCAAAGCCAATTCTCAAACACAACTAAGTTTGAGAAGCAAAGAACAGTTTTTAAATGAAATACAACTGAATCTTAAATTCTAACTCTGGATTTGAAATTCAGTTCTATTTGTCACATTTTATCAGGAGCACCCTGGCAAACTACAAAGCAACCAAAAGTGACCACTCAACACTTTGTTAATGTTCAGCATCAGAAGAAGAAAACAGCTTCTAACGGCTTTTTAATTTGAAATTCTAAAGACTGCATCTTTAGGGGAGTGACAGTTAAGGGGAAGCTGAAAAAATTAGTCCTTCCATATTTAGCGGAGAATATTTTAATAACTGTATGAGACTCTCATTTACATTCTTCCCGGGTTCTCTAAAAATACCTGATATATCAAATTATAATTAAAAACACTTAATAGTGTAGAATCAACATCAACTTTACTTATTACAATTAGTAAAAACTGGGCTTGTCCTAGACACAGTTCTGATGCAGAAAAGGCAGCCAGTTCTAATGATATGAAAATCTTAGTTTCGAGTGTATCTGATCTAAATAGGATGGCACTACCTTTCAAAGCAGTAGAAACTTGTCTCTTTAAATATTTTGGCCATAAAACCTAAACTGGAAGGGAAGCTAGAAATTAACAAGTCTAACATTAAATCACGGGATAAAGTCCAATTAAGATTAAAACAGCTTACTAGAGACTCACAGTAATATGTCCATATTCTGAATTCATACCATAATGTCTCCATTATTAAATTCAGTATAAAAATACTAATTCATAAGTTAACTTTTTGAGTGTAATGCACTTTAATAGCTTATATAGTCCAACTCACCATTCTAAACAAAGACTGTTTATCTCTACCACCCAAGGCACAGTGTTGCTATTATAAAGGAGTATTCAACACAAGACAATTACAGCAGTTCCCTTTCTTGATAATCCTAGGAACACAGCCCTGTTGTTCTGGTTATTACTGTTTATTAATCTTGCATAAGAAATAATCCTGTGACACAACCTGAGATGTACATAATGCCTATAACAAAAGCAGTACATCTCTCCAAACCAAAGTAGCAAATGAAGCAGTATTGAGCTAACTAGGTACTAGGAAATTCAATTTTGGGGGTTTACCATCAACAAGGGTAATTATCACTTGTCTACATCTTCAACACTGTAACCCTTTAAATCACTTACACTAAATTAAATACTGAAATCATTCACTAATACAAAATAAAATAATTCATAAAACCTAGGCTCTGTACTCACTAACTATCTTTGGAGAACTAGTTATGCTTCATCTCAAGCACAGATATCTAGGAATATGAATATTTGAATGCAATGACAGAAACACACTAAAACAAGATTCTTGTAACAAGTACATTTGACTCTTAAGAGCTTTGATCTATTCTTGATTTCCACTACTAGTAACCACAACACATTTGTTAGGCAGATTCCAGCATTTGCTCTTGAGGCTAAATCTAAGTATAATTTCTTCTAAATTCACTACAGAGATGGACGTAAATGATTAATACTCTCCTTGAAGTAAATGTTCAATAAGCAAAGTCAGTATCCAATTGATAGTCATTATCTTGGAATTCTTCCACAGGCTAGCACAGCCCGACTCCTTCAGAATATTTTTGTAAGACTTATATCCTAAGCTTTAATAATTTTTCTCAGGTTCTTTCCAACTAATCTGCAGACGATGTCTTACAACAAGGGCACTTAAAATAACTAATTTCCTAATAAATGCTTAAATAATCTGAGTAGAGCAGAATTATTACTTTTTTTTTTAAGATTTATTTATTTGTACATACAGAACTGGGGTACAGGCCAGAGGCTCAGGGGTGGTGAAAGGCTTCACCAGAGACAGAGTGGGGAGCAGAACAGGCAGATCGATGAAGTACACTGCTGAGGGGAGCAGCGGGCGGGTCAGGAGAGGTCTGCCACCCATGTGGTCACCTCTGGGGCAGGCAGGAATCGAACTCACGCGGAAGTGGCTTTAGCTTCTCAGTGCTGTGCTTTAACCCGCTGCGCCACCAGGGAGGGCCCAATTATTACATTTTTAATACACTGATTAACCACACAGTTTGCATTAAAAATGTTTTAAAGTCAGTTTGCCCCCTTCCTCTTTAGTAACCACAGTGATAAGGAGGAAGGGAGACAAGGTAACAGGGGTCAAGCACTTGGTGTGGATGGAAACCAGACTCTCATGGGGATCAAAATGTAGTACATATAACGGGTGTTGAACTATAATGATGTACACCTGAAACTTAAATAATGTTAGAAACCAATGTTACTTGAACAAGAAGTCAGTTCAGAGATGTAAATTACTGCCATTATCATGAGACAACTTTTCATTCCAATGTGAAGAATTAGGCTATATCTGTAAGTAAGTGTGATACAGTGGCATCTTCAAGCTCAAACACAGCAGTTTATAGTGATCAATTACTGTATGATACCATTTCACTTAAGGGGGAAACAGACTAACCCAAATGTCAGCTTAAAATATCTTAAAAGAATATCTTTTATTCCATGTTGACATTTAAATTTGGAAACTGGTGATGAGTGGAAAATGCTTTGATGTTTTGCAAAGTAAGTCATATATGCAAGTACTCTTAACTTTAGAGACTGAGTGAATCCTTTCAAATTCAAAATTATCCCCTAGATAAGAATGTCACAATGCTGCACAATGACTACTGGAATACTGGCATGTATGCTTGCTTTACTTTTTTTTTCTGAACATGAGAATAAAAAGGGAGATAAATGATGTCACTAGCTAGACCATTTTACAGCCTGTAGAAGAGGATATAAACTGCATTTTTGTAAATGCCTGTTCCCCGGATCCATTTAGTAAAGAATATATTTCAAAATATAAGTTGTCCTTGAATCAAGTATTGGCAATTAGTGCACTAAAAATATAAAACAACAACAAAAAGATAAAACACAATTATCTGCAGGAGGGCTATGTATTACAAAGGCATGGAAACCTTTTTTTTCATTTTGTGAAGTAACAATGTGGCATTAAAATTAATACTCCATTGGAATATCAACTAAGGCTACTGCTGTAACTAGTTACCAAAAGTAGCTCTTTTCATTTTCACAAATGTTTACATGGCTCTACTTTTGTTCACTAATGTGAAAATGAAAAAAGAAGATTTAACATAACAGAACTAACTACTTATTCTGAAAAAGAAAAAAAGGGCCAGCTTATAATACTGGCCCTTGCCTGGCATCTGGGGCATTTTGGGACGATTTCCTCCATTTCCAGAACGGTACGATGGTTTGCAAGGCCTAGACTACTTTTGCACCAACCTGCTTTCCTTCTGGGAGTTTGGAATCTTGGGATGTGCCAGGCAGAGCGTGCCTATGTGAGCAATCTCCACAAAAACCTGGGCACAGCGTGTTTCAGAGACTTTCCCAGCTGGCATCTCACACATGCTGCCACATCACCGCGCGCTATTAAGCACGTCTTCTGTGATGCCCTGGGAAAAGATGACTGGGAGTTTATGCTGACACCCTCCCACTTTGCCAAGCATCCTTTATCTTTGCTAAGCTGTGTGTGGCTTTCCTTCTGCTGTAATAAATCAGAGCTGGGAATATGAATGGCTATATACTAAGTCCTGAGAGTCCTCATAGCAAATCTTGAGAGTGGGCTATTAAGCCTCCATCCTGCTTACCACAATTAATAGGAAAAGTTTTATTGTCCAAATCGTTTTGATATACATATTTATACACATCAATATTGATTTAATAGCTATAGTTTTTGTGGTCACAAACTAAAATAATCTAAACCTGCATTTCAAATGTATATTTTAGTTTTTACTTCAGTATTTTAAAGTCAATCATTAAATAGTAACTGTTGAAATCATGCACACTGATCTATTTATATAATGAAGGCTATTAAAACAATTTTTAAATTATTTAAATTGTAGAGGAACAGGATTAAACGTATAATAGTGTTTTCTTACAGAATAATAGCTTTTATGCTTTATTAATAAAGCTAGCATTTTTATTTTATACCAGTCATCTTTAAAAACACATAGGCTCTTACCCTGAAATGCTCCTCCTTCAATAACCCCCTCTTTGGTACTGTCAAAGCCATGAGATGTAATCTGGGTTTCAGAGAGACCAAGTCCAGCTGGTAATGAGCGCTTCAAATCCTAAGTAACATTAAAATAAAAGAGAAAGTTTTTTGTAAAAAAATCTCACACCATATAAGATTTATGCATTAATTGTAGCCTTTTAATCACACCTCAAACTATTTTTTTCTCTGTTATGTAGCATTCCCTTATACTGTTGATTTTTTCTATAACGATATTCAACGGCAAACTCAGCAACATTTGCTAGTAAAAGGTCCACTATATATTAAACACAAAATATATTCACTTTCTAGAGCCAAACTGAAGGCAGATGTTAAAACAATTTCAAATGTCCAATCTATTGATATACCAGGAAAATATATATTTTTAAAATTTTCATAAAGATTATTTATTTATGTACACAAGAGCTGGGGTAAAGGCCAGAGGTGTGGATGGTGGGAGGATTCACCAGAGACAGAGTAGGGAGCAGAACAGGCAAATCAAATGAAACACACCGCTGAGGGGAGTAGTGGCCGGGACAGGAGAGGTCTGCTGTGCCATGTGGGTCACCTCTTTGGCCAGGGATTGAACTCAGGTTGCAGTGGCTGTGGATACTTCTTAGTACTGTGCTTTAACCAACTGCATCACCAGAGAAGGCCCAAAAACCATTTTAAAGAACAAAATTAAGATGCCAGAAAACCACGTCCATTAAAAAACCCAAGACGATACATTCATAAGCCTGTCACTATAAAGAAATCATTCATTTGCGGTATTAATTTTCCTTTCATTCTGAAATTAGTTAGGTTAAAAGGGATTCTCTGGCTTCAACTAGGGTGAGGTAAAAGAAATTCCTGCTATTTAGACTTGTGCTAAACATGGTTTGAGTGAATCTAACTGCAAATTAGCAATAACTGAGACTTAAGCCATGATAAATATCAAACACTGAACCTTAGAGCTAAACAAGAAAAACAGAAAAAAAGAAAGCCATGCAAACAGATTTCCAGGGTAGTTTCTTTCCCTTGGTTTGCCAATTGAGGTATTACCCAATTTTCATAATTAGTGTCTATAAATATATTTGGTTGGTTTTTCACAATAATGATGAGTTAGTGATGCACTGAAGATCAGTATATCTTTAATTCCATTCGTAATACGCCACCTACCACATATATTCTATAACTGTAATTCCCAAACTGAAAACAACATCTGGACTACTACAATTTGTAGAGTCAAAAGTTAACAGACATAAATGGTACACTTTCTTGCCACATTTTCAACTCCTAGCCTCAGAACACTCTGGGCTTTCTCAGGCCAGCATATGTGTTTCACTGATACTGCCTCCAAATCCTGGAGTATCCAATGGTTCTGTCAGAGGACTTTTTCTTTTATACTTATTTCTTGGATGATCTTATTCAATTCTTATAAATCATCTATACATCAACAACACCCAAATTTGACTACCACACCTGGGCCCTTTCTTAATTTGTTTATTGTTACACCCTCAGAGACTGAGATGCAGTGTATTTGTAAATGAATGAATTTGTTGAATGCACTAAAGAACATATGACTCAACACTATAAAGATTAAGAAGCTGCTATAGCAATTGGTTTACTTTTAAATTAATTTAACAAGGATTTGCTTACTCTTACTACGTTAGACTTTCTGGACAAAGATAAGGTACAATCCAAGCCTCACTAGAGAGACAAGATAGGCAAACATTAACATAAAAGTTGAAGCTGGTGCCAAAGTATCAGAGGAATTCAGTGTAGGAACTAAGTCCATGAGAACCGAGAGGAAGGGCAAAAGTACTCACCTCAGTTCTGGAAAATAAAGGATTTATTTATTCATTGAACCAACATTTAATGAGCGCAACTTCATGACAGTCACATACTGCGGGCCAGGAAACAAGTGTCTGCCCATTTTAGACGTGCATGAGGGCCAGGGAAAAGAAACGACGGACAGTAAATTAAATTTTCTCCAACATCACCCCTTACTCCCATGCTGTTTTAACTACTGCTGCTTTAGAGTACAGCTTAATTAATCAGGTAATGCGATGTCTCCACGTCTCTCCTTTTCCTTTTCCCTCATGAGTGCTTTAGGTATTTAAGCCCTTTTACGGCTACACATAAATTTTAACATTTTTCTTCAATTTCTTTGGTGATCATTACAGGAATTTTGATGAGGATTGTGTAAAACTTAAATGCTGATTTTGGGCAGAGTAGTAATTTTGACTATGTTAATTTTCTCCATCCACGAACACAGACTTTCTATTGCCTATGTCACGCCCTGTATTGTTTAGCAATGTCTTACACTTCTCAGTGTGTAAGTCCTTCACCTTCTTGGTTAGATTAATTCCTAGGCGTTCCTTCCCCACCCCCCCAATTGTACATGGAATTCTTGTTTTCTTTTTCACTGCTTGTATATATATAAAAAAAACAATAGATTTTTGTATGTTGACTGTATAATCTGCCTCTAGCTCCAAAAACATTTGATGTGATGAAATGTATTGGCAATATTTTTTTCCTGTTTTATTGCTTATAATAGCTTTTTGGTGACATTTTTAGGGTTTTCTATATATAGTATTACATAGCCTCCCAATAATGATAGGTTTCACTTTCTCTTTCCAATCTGGATGCCTTTTATTTTCTGTTGTGATTTTTCTAGTTGCCCAGAACAGACTACTTTACCCTAATACTAAATAAAACTGAAGTGGTAACAATGACTATCCTTATCATGTTGCTGAATTTACAGGGAAAGCATTTGGGTTTTGATTCAGTGTAATAGTGGCTGTTTAGCATTCTGTGACCTTCAAAAAATCTTTTTAAAAAATTAAAGTCTCTTCCTTTGTTCAGGTCAGTAAGTCAGGTTTCACTTAAGTTTTCTGTCTGCAAATCTAGCGTCTCTCCTACTATAGTAGTGTCAATATCCTCATGTGCAACTATTCTGTGTACGACATCATTCAGAGTCGATTTGAATTTCCCTTACTTCAACTATGACTTTTCATTTCTTTGCTGCTATACCTGTATTTTTGTTCACCCACTCCCTACTGATTATCCATTTTTGGAAAATGTCACATGGGTTTATGATCAGAAGAAAAGAAGGCAATACAATCACACACGGGTTGCCACTTGGATGTGAACTGAGTGACATATGCAGTGACCAATCACCAAAGAAAGGACTTTGAGACAAAGTACTCTCATTACTGAATTCTCCCATCACTTGTCACATACAGAGTCGTTTATGGACTTACATGCTGGCACTTTACACTTTATACGTTATGCAATTACAATTATTCCATTAAGGTAACAGAAAGCTGAGCTGTGTTCTTGGGGGACTGGTATTGTTCACCTAAACTGCAGTGACTGAAATTAACTTTCATTAGGTCTATACAAAGCAACACTGCTAGTAGACTGTCACATTTAATCTTGACAATATTTTAAGTGGTACCAGTACAACTATTTTATAGATGAGAAAACTGGGAACAAAACCAGGTCATCAAATTCTACTAACTAGCAATATGGTCAGGATTAAGCTTGAAGAAACAATATTAGCTATAATGTAAATTGTGTCAAGCAACTTACTATAATTTTAGAATTAGTTTCAGTGTATTTTCTGAAAGAGTTAAAAAAATACCTTTTTAAAATCATGTTAAAATCTACTAAAGTTTAAACATATCAACAAAAAAGTTCTAACATAGTTTCCTTCCTACTGGTATAAAACAGATGAATAGTCTTCATTCCATTCCATTTATTTCCTAATATCACTTAAAACTCTTATCATAGGACAACATCCTTTTCATTTGTATATTATTTTGAAGAGTGCTTAAAATTAAAATCATTCTTTATACTCAGTCTTATTTGCTTACTATTTTTAAATCAAATCTAAGTGTTTATTTTACTGAATGATTTTTTTTTACCTTTTTTAGTTTATTTTTTAAATCTAAATCAATGGTTTCTACTTTTAAACATTATCAATCTTTTAATTCATATTTATATTAAAACCAGACAAGCTGATTCTCTCTGAAAGACATTTACTAACAAAATAAAGTACTGTCAAACTACCAAGATATTTCTTAAATTTTACAAGTTTAGTCATTAAGGTCAACTAATTTCAGAATTGTTTCCTTGAATGTTGCCTTGCTCTAAGTCTTCAGAGATTTTCAGCTTTCCTTAAGAGAAAACGTACATAAATCAACCTCTCAAAATATAGGGCACAAAAAATTACACTCAAGGGCCCTCCCTGGTGGTGCAGCAGGTTAAAACATAGCACTAAGAAGCTAAAGCCACTTCAGCATAAGTTCCATCCAGATCCCAGCCCGGGAGATGACCACATGGCGCTGCAGACCTCTCCTGACCCGCCCACTGCTCCCCTAAGCAATGTACTTCGTCAGTCTGCCTGTTTTGCTCCCCACTCTGTTTCTGGTGAATCCTCTCACTGCCCCTGCACCTCTGGCCTGTACCCCAGCTTTGTATGCATAAATAAATAAATCTTTTAAAAAATTACATTTAAACAATGTAGAAATATCAATACAGAGCCTGGCTGGTGTCTTTATGGAACTTATCTGAAAGAAGTTTATTCATGTGATTGTCACAAAAGATTGTGAAAATTAAAAAAAAAAAAGGTTAATAGATAGTAGAAATGTTTGAAAAGTGAGGAGTCATTAACAGGCTAAATAGTAGTTATGATGGATATCTTATCACCTAAGTTGTCATTTTGTCATGCAGTGTCTCTAGACCCTCCATTTTGTTATGAAAGTTCTTTGAGTACATGAGATCTTGTTTAAAACTCTTCCAGTGGACTTTTGGAGTCCTTTATTCAACAAACGAAAAGTTCTTCCAGAAAAAAAGTCATGCCCTTTATGTGAAACAGCCACACAATCGGAAAAGCACTAAGGCCTTCCTGCATCTAAACTGTTACTACTAGAAGGCGCCTTACCAAACGTGGCACAAATGGGCGCTTTCAGATTCTGAACAGAACTATCATTTTGATAGTAGTCTGGCAGCTAAGTGGAACACAAAATGATACAGGCTATGTGAAAGGAATGCATAACTTAGGAGTTAACTGTATTTTATGAGCTAGTTGACTGTTTATTATAAATCACATTCTCTAACTCATATAATTCAGCCTCATAGCTCACAAAAAATTAAATGTGCTTTTAAATAACCCTTACATGTTTAAATGGTGTCTCAGTTATAAGGCCATGTCTGGCTTAGTCATTTTATAATAATCTGCAGTACATTTATTTCTATAGCTTCCAGAATATATTTGAGAGACAATGACCCCATTTATAATCAAGTATATAAAATTCCTAATTTGCATTTTTATGTTGCTGACATGCAACTAAATTTTAAGATTTTGCAAACTTGTATCTAACAACTTCACAATAAAATGGAATAAACATGAAATTAACTTTCTACTCAAACTATTTGGACAATGATAGAATCTTTAATAGTTTAAAATAAATTCTCAAGCAATTAAGCTAAAATACTTTGGACAAAAGTTTCATGTATATTTTGAGTCTTTTTCAAAGAAAACAATTATATTTGTAAGTAACAGTTTCTAGAAAACTGGAAAATGGTGTACATTTTCAGCCAAAATAACTTATTACCTCCATTTGCAAGTTAAGATAAGAATGAGTTAAAAAATGTAATTTCAGAACTTGTAATTTAGCGTGATAATCTACTTTTGAACTAGTTAGTACAAAACCAACACATAAAGAAAAGCATTCAGTAAATTTGTTTTAAAATATACATCCTTACAGTATGTACAGCACTACAATATAGAAACAAAACAACTAAAGATTTGTTAATCTTTCTTTCAATTAGGGCAAATTGGATAAATATTGAATAAAGGGTGATACACAAAGCATATACTGAAACGATCATCTGTAAGACTTTGCCAAGCACTCTATAAGTGAACTCTTTTCTTCCTTAGTTTACCTGCAGAATATTTTACCAGTTTTCCTCCTCTTAAAATGGCTTGCTATTTTTTTCTGGGTCTAGTGTCTATTCAGGGGAAAAGCCCACTAATGTTCCCTCTCTTCTTCCCTTGGTGAACTCCCCGAACTTAACTGACTCTCCTGACTATGGTCTTGTCACCCTTGACTTCAAACTGTAAGCTAAGAACTTCCCAACACATAGGTCTGGTTGAGACATGTCCACCTGTGTGCCATTTAGGGGCCATCATTGCTTTTAAGTCAAGTTCAAATTCCTCAACATGGTTTGAACCTGCTGCAGTACTGGTCCCTACTTACCTCTCTTGCCTCATTTCTCTCACATCTGCCCCCGTCCCTTAATCTCCATTCCATCAACAGTGCCCTGTCTTGAACTTTTTTTAGGTCTTTCTAGTTGTCCTTTGTAAGAACATTCTTCATTCTTCTTTACCTTATCCTTATCCTGCAGATTCAGCTTGGGCAGCAAATACTCATAAAATCTTTCCATACTCCTCCTAACAGTCCTTAGAACATGCTGCACTTGACCTATGACCTAGTATAATACTATGACCTAGTATAATACTTTGTGCATGACATTAAAATCAATTTGTCTATATTCTCATTCCCCACAGTTAGCTCAAAATGCTTGTAGAAAGCTTAAAGTTGGTAGTTTTGATTCTGATATGGTAATATGCAGCTGGACAAGGGCATAAAAAAAGAATGGGGGCAGATAAAAGACAGTAGGCTAATACAATACAATACAATACCTTTCCACTTGGGCGGCCTGAACTCCAAGGACAATGTCTGGACCTCGTGATCACTCAGGAACAGCACACCTGGAGCCTTAACTGATAACTCACTTGATGATCAGAATCCCCGCCTACAGCAAACCTCCTGCCTTAGGAGTCACCAGAGACAGAGTAGGGAGCAGAACAGGCAGATCTAGGAAGTACACTGCTGAGGAGAACAGTGGGCAGATCAGGAGAGGTCTGCTGTGCCATGTGGGTCACCTCTGGGGCGTGGAGGGGATCAAACTCATGCTGAAGTAGCTTTAGCTTCTTGGTGCTGTGCTTTAACCCGCTGCGCCACCAGGGAGGGGCCCGCAACAAATTTTTAACAACACCTTATTGTATCACTACCTTTTAGTGATTTACGGCCTATCCTCTTAGCCACACACTTCTCAAGCACCTTGGTCTGGATTCTAATACTGAAGCTTAATTAGAAGGAAATTATATAAAAATAAAGAAGGAAATTATATGCTAACTTGCATCAAGAAAATGCTGAATTCATCGAGTCTCACTGCGGATGTATACTTATGTAACTATTTTCAAAACTATTACTTCTATAAATAGAAAAAATTTATGATAGTTTTTACTTAAAAGTAAAGGTACAAGCTACAGTTTAATTAAAACAGAGAAGGCTTCAGCTTTTCATTAAAAATAATGTATTTATGCACAAATTTCAGAGTTAATGTAATAGATGTATATATAAAATATTTTTTAGAACTTAATTTGTGATAATAGTACCAAGAATAAATTCTATACTTGAAAAGTTAGTATAGAATAAGCTCAGATTTGCATGGCAAGGGTCACATGTTTCTATTTTTTGACCAGTACTTAAACAACATAAATTAGAAATAACATGTAGTTTACAAGTCAGAGTAATTTTTTTTTGGTGTAGAAAATGGCACTAATACAAAGATTACTATACATCCCACCCACCCTATATATAACTGTCGGCTTCATCTTAATTAAGAGAGTAACAGCCCTAGAAATAGTAACACAGAAAGATGTTGCCAGGGGATTTCTAGGACAAGTTCTTCCATCATAGCCTCTACATAAATATGAATGCTGAGTGTGAATTTTTAACTAGGGTCTCCCCTTGGATAGACTTAAAAAGGAAATCAAATGAGAAACTAAGCAAAGGCAGTCACAAACAAGAAAAGAAGTATTTTCAACTTTACTGCCTGTGCCACAGTGACACCAAATGGCCAGTCAAGTTATAACAACTTAACACCTTAATTTTTTGCTGCTGACTCAGTCATACAAATGAGATCTCTTTACCAGTCTAGAAAATAAATCCAAATTTTAAATGACATATTTTAACACTTACTTCCCTATGAAATTTTATATATATTAAAGTGGAAACAGGAATTGGGAGTTTAAATGCAATTTCACTTTTATTGCTCAGAAAAATAAATGAAGAAAATGTACCAAAATGTAGGCAAAAATACAAGGAACAGATCTTGTACAATATATTCAAAACACTCAGAGGAGGCTTCTTAAATTGGTTTCACTTGTGGGGAAAAGAAGCACAGAGCCAACTTTTACTTTAATTAAAGGATATTAAATAGATGAGACCCTCATAATGCATATCTTTTTCATAAGAGAAGGCAGGAACAGAGACATGTTTTATGACACTGAACTTCAGGGAGGTAAAGTGGGAGTGGCCTGGTTGAAGTGGACGACTGCTCTAAGGAGCTTTGCTCCCTGGTAAAGTTCATCGTGTCCAGTAAAGGGAGCTCTCCCCGACAAGATCTATTTTTTCCCTTCTTTACTTTCTTTCAATAGAATGTAAAATAGTATTGCAGGAGAATTTTCAAAATGAGGATCTGACGTTAACCAATGAAACTTGGGGTGCTTCTGGCTTCCTCTCATTGGAAATTGAGAGAATGCAGCACAAATAGAGTGGGGAGCAGAACAGGCAGATCCACACTGCTGAGGGGAGCAGTGGGTGCGGCAGGGAGGTGTGCTGTGCCGTGTGGGTCCGCTCCCTGGCCGGGGATAGGACTCATGCTGCTGTGAGTGGCAATAGCTTGACAGCAGTGAGACTTTAACCCCTAAGCTGACACTTTAGAAAGTGAACAGTAAAATGAGGAGCAGCATACGTAGGAATTACATACTTAGGACACAAGAAAATTGATTATAGTATTTTATTTTATTGCAAATAAAATTAAGTAGCTTTATACAGTGACACGCCCAAAATGTCTGACACACTTTTGTTCTGACCATACAACAGAATTACTACTAATAACATCAAAGCCTGGAACGTAATCTTGACAAATCACTAATATGGCCTACAGGTTAATCCCTGCACGATAACATTAGATTCCTTGCTTTTCAGCCAATCTAAGAAAATAAGACTAAATTAAACCTTACTATTTCTGTGTCAATATTTAAGAGCTTATCGCAATTCTTTGTATTAAAAGAAAGAAAAGTGTACTCACCCTATTAAAGCCATGTTCATGAGAGTCATCAACTTCTCCATTACTAGTTACCGGGATTTCTGCTACTGAATTTTTGGGAGAGTCTTGAGCCATGGTAGATTCCTTCAAAAAAGGAAAGACAAAAAGTCATAATTTACATGAAATCACAAAAGGCAGATATTCACGTGAAGCACGAAATACTATTCATTTTAATAGGGCTTAAGCACCACCACTTTAGAATTTTTTAAATAACTGCAACTACTACTACACTAAATATGATACTAATAAAATGAAAACTGGCCTTTTAAAAACTGTGCTCAAATTTCTTTATAAAAATAAGCTGTTTACTATAGGTACTAAGGGGTCAATGTTCTTGCAGTTAGGACAGACTACCAATTATAATTTCGAAAATTATTACAAAGAGCCCAGCTTCACTGTTAATTTAACTAAGCAGCTCTTGCTACAACTGTGCATGGTTTTGAAAAAACACATGAGCCTACAAGTTAAAATGAGAATTTCATATCTGGAAAAAAAAATCCACTTTCCCTTATTTTAAAAATTAAAAAACTTCAGAAACTTTCAGTAAATAAGCTATTCCACTTCTCAGAAAGAATAGGCTCTCTTTTCACCTCACCCATTACTTCTTAACCAGTAACAATTTTAAAAGTTTTAAACAATTTAAAAGAGATAAAGGTGGGACCTTTGGGAGATGCTTAGTCTTGAGGGTGGAGTCCTCATGAATGGGATTAATGTTCTTATAACAAAAACCCCAAAGAGCTCCCCAGCTCCTCCCACCAAGAAAGGATGCAGTGAAATGCCAGCAGGCTGCTACCAGAAGAGGGCCTTCCTCAGAATCCTGAAGGTTCTATTCTTGGATTCCATCCTTCAAAACTATAAGAAATACATTTCCATGGTTTATAAGTTATTACATAGCTTGTGGTATTGTGTTAGAGCAGCTGGAATGATGAAGACAATGTTCTTCACAATAGGGTCCAACCCACTTTTTAAAGCTTTACTTCTCTTTACTCTTCTAAAGACCCTTTTCTTTTCTACTACTTGCTTTTTCTGGAATGAAGTATACTTTGAGATCTGTGAATATTTGTTCAAATGCTTTTCAATGTTTAACGTATTCCTCCATCTTTACTATCTAATAAAACCTTGCCCAGACTTAGTTCAAAATATTATCTTTTCTATATAACTTATTCCAAAGCCTCTCAGAGACAGCACAATACAAGAAAAGGGTAATGAGAGACTTGGTTAAAAACCCAGCCTTACAGTATACCGTCATATGGAGTACCTCACACTCAACAGGGGCCCTGACATGTGTGGTAGAATGTACCACCTAGGCTCGTGCCCTTATAATCTAGGATGTTCACACTGTGATGACCTCACCTAAAGACCTGCCTCATCTACAGTCATGAACAACTCATGACTGTAGAGGCTGTTCTGTGATCTTTGTTACTTAATCTTAGTTTTCCCATTAAGAAAGTGCATGTATCTCAGCTAATACTTGAAGGGACATTTATTCAACGTATTTAAAGAGTACCTAATGGGACAAGGTGGCCAAGTGGTTAAGGTGATGACTGCTAAAAAGAGTTACCTCACACACAATAAAGTGCTCACTAAATAAAAGCAAGTGTTACCAGTTGTGTGCTACTAAATCTTTTAACAACCAGTTCTCCAGATAATTTTTAAAAAGTCCTTATTTGCAACACTTGCCTGTTTTGATGATGTTAATGCTCTCATGGTCAATTTCAAGCTTCCACTATAACCTTGCTGAATCCAGAGGCAGAACTGATGTGCAGCACATCAGTAAAGCATTTCCTCCCTTGATATAACAGACAGAAACAACCTGAACTGGTAAGTTCTAAGTTACCTATGACTTTTGTTCTTAATAAGTTCTTACTTATAGCTTATGTAAGCAAATATTAAAATAATGTCGATGTTTAGTAGTTGGCTTACAAAATGCTTGGAAATTCAGCAAACATACTAAAAACTGGCTTTAGCCACCACTACATTGTTTTCTGAAAACAAGTCTTGTGCACACATAACGTAGCGTTTAGTATCTTGAAATAACGTGAAGACCTAAACTTAAAATAATCTTTAAAATCTAATATATTGGATATCATGTTCCAGATTTCACTGTTACTGGTTTGGAGAGGAACTGAAAGCATCCTCATGAGGTAAAACTACATATTAAAAGGAGGTTAGGTTTACTACTATGGTCATGAACAAGAAAGTGAACACAGTTTACTTACTTCTTATTTCACAAATCAATAACCAAGTCATGTCTGCTTGCCTGTGTTTCTTGTTAATTCTAAGTACATTCTAAATCCAGAGTCATGCTTAGGATCAAAGTTGAATGAATCCTATGTGTGACTTTGACACTGCTTTATGTGGTAACAGAAAAGTACATTTCTTTTATATTGCATGATTTTCCTAATTTACATGTGGTAGAATGCAATTTAAAGCAGAATTAACCTTGTAACAAAGAGGAATGCAAAACCAAAAAAAGGAGCATGGAACAGCTCCTTATTTACAATATTTGCAACCAAAAAAAGTATAAGCCTGGATTTTTTTTTTTTTTAAAGATTTATTTATGTACACAAAACTGGATACAGGCCAGAGGTGCAG